ATATTTCTCTCATATACAGCTTAATAGTTTCAGTTCGTCCGCGAGTGTATAGTCTGACGCCCTCGTGCTAATTCTGAGTGTGTCGTGAGGTGGATCCTAGCTTCTTTTTGTTGTAGTTTATTCATGCTCTTTGATTGAGAAGACAATTTCACCTTGGATTGCTCTAATTGCTTTGTTAAAAGTTAATTAACCGCATCTATTAGTTACTGTTCATTCCCGAGTAACAATTCTTTCCAACAACATAAGTAGAAACATACTCAGAATTGTGAGTTCTGTATTACTTTTGAAGTGAACGGCAGCAGAGTGATAACTCAAATGCATGGAATCAAAAGCATCCTTCCGTTGCTTCATAGTCTCCTTAGAAGGAAAATACAACCCCTGTTCTCTTAATCCATTTACATTTTATAATATGATCTCCATTCCTGTCATCCCCCACAGGCAGTATTTGTCTTCAGAAGGCTGCCTGTGACCATGATGTGCCTTATACATATATCTGTATGTGTTCTCTTTATTGGTTTACATCTGGGTAGTTATTCACCGCCCCAACCCTCCAATCAAAATCTTTGCTGTTTGAAGGATTTAAAAAGAAATTGTAGCTGGAACAATAGAGAATTAAAAAGTGCTTCTACCTATCTGTCAGTAATTTGATAAAACTTTCAACTAGAAAACAAGGAAAATTCCCAAAGCCTGACCCACACACAGCTCCTGCTTAAAAAAACAAAACCTAAAATTATTTTTTAATCCTCTCTCTTCCCCTTTTCTTTCTGCCATGTGTGTGTGTGTGTGTGTGTGTGTGTGTGTGTGTGTGTGTATACATGCACATGAGGCCAGAGGCATGGTGTTGAAAACTGAACCAAGGTCCTCTGTGGGAGCAGTATGCTCTTAACAGCTGAGCCACTTCTCCTTCTCCATCTGTCATTGCAAGGAACTCAAGAAACATAGCCTAAAACCAAACCTAGCTGTATTGATTAAAAGGAACATGCCAAAGCCCGCAGAGGAACACCCTGGAGAGGGAAATGCGGAGCTCGGAGCTCACTGAGTCTTAGGCTGCAGCCTCACCTCTCAAGCTCCCTGTGCGTCGCTCACCCGCCTTCTGTCCAAATTCTTGAAATTTAAAAGAATTTAAAAGCTTGAAGCCCACAAGAAACTCACCTAAGTCTTCTTGCTATGCAATGGCTGTAAATGCCAGATGCTCCTTTCTAGAAGTCCCCGAGTACATTCAAGTCTGTAGGACCATGCTCACTATGATCAAAAAGCCTCTGATCAAGGCTTTCAAAATAAACAGGGAAAGTGTCTCAGTGAGCAGCCAAAGACCTTTTCCGTGCAGAGAAAGGCCTTCCACACGGCGCAGCGGCTCTCACCCCTCTCTGTTTGTTTTTCCAGGTCTGAGACCTGTCACTTACAATTCCAGATCCAGCTCCTCCGGTTTCACATCTCTCCACGGGAGCAAATTCTTCCAGGGCATGAGCTGAGCTTGCAGTGTTTGCTGGATGCTCCTCTTGGGTGACAGGGCCTGCTGCGTTCCCTTCATCTCCGGAAGCCAGCTGATCCAAGAAACTCTGGATAGTACCAGGAAGAAACTCCGGGTCTGTGCTCCACCTGGCCAATGACAGCCCTATCAGAGAAGTGTCTGGTTTCTCTTTCAGAGGCTGCTCAGGAAGACGGGATCAGCCACACCCGAAACATCCACCTGTGGCTCTGAAGGTGACCACAGGGACTCTGTGCAGCCACTGCGGAGATCAGCTATGGAGGTTCCTCAAAAGTAAAAATAGAGCTTCCATACGATCCAGCTGCGCCACTCCTGAGCGTAGGCAGAGGCCTCAGAGTCAGCAGGTCATAGGCAGATCTGCACATCCATGTTCACTGTAGTGTTGTTTACAAGAGCCAAGACATAGAACCCAGATGTCCGTGAGATGATGGATAAAGAAAATGTGGTACACACACACACACACACACACACACACACACACACACACACACAGGCTTTAAAGAATAAAATAATATTATTTTCAGGAAAATGGGTGGAACCGGAAACCATGTTAAGGGAAATGAGAATGACTGAGAAAGATAATTGTCATGTTGTCATGTTGTCTCTCCTATGAGCAATCTAGATTTAAATGCACGTGAGCATACAGAATATAAACATACACACACTCTGTGAAAGCCTAGGGGGGCTATCTGAGGAGAAGGAGGTGAGCAGTGGGAAATGGAATTAAGGACAAGTGAGGTTACATTACCAGGTCCTACACCAGTCCTGATATGGTCCTTTTGCACTAGAAGGCAGTGACTGTCCGCAACTTGAAGTTTTCTCCCAGAATTCTCAAATTACCCTCGGTTTATTCAAGTTGGGGACTATACATTATATAAATCAGACCTCTCCCATGCAAGTTGGATGCTCACTGTTAAATTACATCACCCATGTTTCAACTGGAATTTCTGTAATCAGAATGGGACATGACTTTTGCTGAATGTTCAGTGCCAGGCTCATCATGGTTTGCTCCTCACCTGTAGAGTCTAGAACTATTTACCTATTAACAAAGAAAACCTGCTGGGGAGGCAATGGATTCATGGAGCTGCTCTTTTGGATTCTCTGTAAGCGGTACCATCGTGTCAACAAGGCTGGTACTAAAACTGCTTATTAATTAGAATAAAGGGGGTTCTTAGAGCCTTTCCCCCTTTCTGTATCACACAAAATCTCAGTTGTTGAACTCGAATGGTTGAATGTGTTTTGTGTATTTAAGGTCACTGTAGAACAAAGGGAAGAGGATTTATTTGCACAGGAAGTTCTAAGATAAAGGTGTTCAAACAGACGAGCACAGCACGTTTGAGTCTAAGGTGGGATAGAGCCGGAAGTTCCCATGAACAAAACTTTTAGTACCATAAATGACGTTTATTCTCGGATCTCCACTCTCTTTTCTCCTCTTTGATGAAAGCTTGCCTCAGATTCTGGAGAAGATTAACCGCATGACAGCCCATGTTAGTCAGCTTTCTGCCACTGTGACAGCCGAGGAAAGCCATTTAAAAGGGGAAAAGCTTCAGTTTGTCTAAAGGCATGAGAGATTTCAGTTCATGGTCAGTTGACTCCATTGCCTTGTGCCTGAGGCAACTAGAGAATGTGGCCACAATGGCTTTATTTAAATCACTGATTCTCAATATTCTAAATTCTGCATCTCTTTAATACAGTTCCTCATGTTGCGGTGCCCCCCCCAACTTATATTCATTGTTATTGTATTTTGCTACATTGTAATTTGCTACTGTTATTAACGGTAATACAGACATTTGTTTTCCACCGATCTTAGGCGACCACCGTGAAAGGGTTGTTTAAAAGGGTTATGATCCACAGGTTGAGAACTTCTGATTTATATTAATAACATCTATGTCCCCATACGGCACTCTTTGTAACTTCTGCCCACTTTAACTTGAGCATATGCTTTGCTTTGTTGAGTAGAATATGGCAGATGTGACGTTGTGACAGTTGGAAACTTAGACCTCAAAAAGTCTGAGTGTTTCTTCTCCGTGGTTCTCATGGTAACATTCCCGAATTACAGGCATGTTACCACGTCCTCCCTGAGCAGTCCTGGGTCATCCCAGCTACGGTAGACCACTCATAGACCACTCACAGACCACTCATAGGCTGCTCATAGACCATTCATAGGGCACTTATAGGCCACTCATAGGCCACTCATACACCACTCACAGACCACTCATATACCACTCGCATACCACTCATAGACCACTCATAGGCCACTCATAGACCACTCACAGGCCACTCATAGACCACACATAGGCCACTCAAAGACCACTCACAGGCCACTCACAGGCCACTCATAGGTCACTCATAGACCACTCATAGGCCACTCACAGGACACTCATAGGCCACTCATAGACCACTCATAGACCACTTATAGGCTACTCACAGGCCACTCACAGACCACTCACAGGCCACTCACAGGCCACTCACAGGCCACTCATAGACCACTCATAAGCCACTCATAGACCACTCACAGGTCACTCACAAGTCACTCATAGACCACTCACAGGCCACTCATAGGCCACTCATAGACCACTCAAAGATCACTCATAGGTCATGCATAGACCACTCACCTCCCAGCTCAAGGGCCATCTCACCACAGCCGCATGAGTGAGCCTGGCCCAAATCTACTGCTAGCCTGTAGGCTCATGGAAAAATAACAATGCATGTTCAAAACTTATGCTTCAAAATCATGTGTTAGCCATGGATAACTGCTTCTGACCATTATTCATAATATGAATGGGGTAAACGGGGAATAGCTCCTCCCGGGGATAATCACAATGTAAATGTTAAGTGTTTGAAGTAAATAGGTTAAATCCGAGGCAGCATCTGTATCAGGCAGAATCAAGCGAGTCCCAGAGTCTTCATGGAATGATAGACATATTCATTGCAGAGCCAATGTACTGACAGTGAAAGGTGACTTTAGGATCAGGATTATGACGTCTGTGAAAGGTCTCAGAGTCAAATATGGTACACCCAATCTCTTACTCTGATAAGTGCTGGGACCACATCCCCACCGCCTTTCCGTCCCTGCACTCTACTTGAGGTTTCTTAGCAAAGTTCAGGACGGGGCCCGGCATCGCTCTCCTCAGGCCCTGTTCCCACAGCACTATTCTCTAGGATTCAGCTCTTCTGCAGTAAAGGGATAATTTACAGATGTCACACACCATCAGTGTGACAAATTCGCCACCAGGGTGACACCACACAGCTTCGGTTTCCGCCTCATGCCTGACATGGAAGCTCCCTCAGACATCCTGAGGTCCTAGCAACCAAGCAATTGAGTTCCTTTTCTGAAACATGATGGTGAGGGAAGGATATTGGCCAAGCTCTGTGCTTGCTCTGCACAGTTTAGCCTCACTGTTAAGGAAGGAAATAGAAGGAAAACGAGAGTTGATTGCATTTAAGACAGATAGTCCAAGGTCCTTGTGATCACCAGTAAAGACGCTTTCTGCTGATTTGGAAACTTGGAGTTATGGGCCAAAACTTTTGGTAAATATTAACTCTCATTTTACTACTTTCCTCATTGGCCCCAGAAACGAAAGTTCAGACTTCATGTAGATAAATCCAAAGTCACACGCGATGGGAGGCGAGGTCAGAAATGCAATATCAGCTTGATTGTTCAAGTTGTGATCGTCTTTAGAGAAAAAATACGAAAATCTACCTCTTGCTCGATATTATGAGAGTGTATTGAGGTCATTCGTCTTTAGGAAGTCCCTAGGTCTACGATGCAGGTCCACGCGGGGACTTCAAGGCCTTCTCTAGTCACCTAATCAGATGGAAATCCTCTCTAGATGCTTCATCTCAGCTTTCGGAAGGCAAGAGAGGGCTCCTCAGAGTTCGGAAAGGAGGGAGGAATGTGGGAATGAATTTGAAACAGTAAGTAGCATTAGAACGATGGCATTTTCTAGAACAAAGCGCTCCAAACCGTGTTATGAGAACACTTCACTTGTAAGGGATGTGGCTTGGGTCACTCTGTCTCCATTGTGCCCAGTTTTTCATATGTAATACGTGGGCTTGGGGATGAATTGGTATTTCCCCAATCTGTGGATAATTTCTCTAGCCTACATAAAAGTTGGGAAATGCTGTATAAAATTTCTGTCCCTCGAAGAGACCTTGATGAAGGTCACATGTAATAAAGCTAGACACCTATATTAACCCAAGCTTAGCCAAAAGACAGCATGGAAACCTATTAATACCTGTTGGAAAAATCTTCTTTGAGACATGCAGACACAGCCACATAAGGCTTTCTTTGGCAGTAAAGATGCCTACTTTTGCCAAAGGAGGAAATGGAGGAATCATTTTGTTGATTGCTGATTCTGTCAGGCACCATCCAGGTGTTTTTTATTTTTCTTGTTTACTCCTTACAGTAATCGTATGGAATAGTATTAATTTATTTTTTCAGTACCAATTTTAATAATTATGCCTTTTCACCCCCATAACCACTTTAGCTTTATGAAGCGAGCAGCAAGAAATACGTAATCTCTAGGGGTAAGTTTTGTTCTCTTGTTTTGCTTTTTGACTGTTTGAGACAAGGGCTATTTATATAGTCCTGGATGACCTGGAACTTATTATGTAGACCAGGCTGGTCTTGAATACACCAAGATTGGCCAGCCTTGGCCTCCTGAGTGTTGGAATTAAAGGTGTGTGCCACCATGCCCAGCAAGGCTTGCTCTACAAATGTGTAAGGCTTTTTACCAGTCCTGTGATGAATGTCATATTCACTAGTGTTGCCCTAATCCTAGCATTTCCTGTGACTGATCCCTAGTAAATAAAACATCTAAGATTTCATGTGACAAAAGTAAAAATTTAAATCCATGACAACATTTTAAATCTCCTTGACAGCTTCCCTTGTGGTTCTTCACCTTTCTCGTCAGTGTTTCCTCCTCCACCTGGGTGGCTGTGGAGTAGTGTAGACGATGCTAATGCCTCTCACTGTCTCCTTCCTCACATATCTCTAACAGGTCTTAGCATCTGTGCCGTCAGAAGGTGCCCCTCAGTGTCACTGCCCTGAATGCTAGAAGAATAGCATTCCAGGTCTGTCTGTCCTTCCTCATGAATCTTCTCTCCACAGGGTGATCTTAAAAAAAAACAAAATTAGTCATGCCCTCTACCCCCACCCCCATGCTAGGAATTAAACCCCAGGCAGGCACTCTATGCCAAGCTACACTGCATAAATTAAGCTTTTTTCACTTTTTCTATTTTAGATGTGACGGTGGCAGTGTTGGTGGGTGCTCCTCAGTGCTGCCTGGACTAGCCTTGATCTCCCAGGATGAAGGAATCTTCCTCTCTCAGCCTCCTGAACATCTGGGTCTCCAGGTGTAACCACTATGCCTTAAAGTTGCCTGATGGTTTCACATATCACTAAAAATGAAATGGAAATGCAGCCTCTGGCCCTGATGAGATCCCCGTCTTCACCTACATCTTGGCTCATGCCTGCTTCCATTGGTTTTCTTTCTAATCAGCAAATCCCAGTCTCTTCCCTAAACTGCGTTACCTGCTTTGCCCTCTGCCTCACCTCCAGCTTTTCCTGTCAGTCTCTCCTCAAATGTCACCTCCTCAGAGGTCTGTAGAGGCCTGTCTTCCCTGTTCCTCGAGGCCAAAGCACAGGATGCAAGAAATATTTACGCTAACCAGCTTAGCTTCCCCTGCTCAATTCTGCCAGCCAGAGGGAATTAGTTCAAAGCCTTGTTTCTGTCATTGCTATGATAATTTCACCTGCTAAGGAGGGTCCTCACAGGCGCCCTAAATCTCCTCCCATCTGTCTGTCAGGGTTCCCAGCTCGATACCCTCTACATGGAAGCTCCGGCCATTGGCGCCAGGTGGCCAACACCCCTCTTCTTACTCCCAGGTGGGAGGGGGCTCTCGTCCTTTTGCCTCCAAGTATTTAAGCCGACATGTGCTGAATAAAGTTGACATTTACCCTTTGGGCGAATGATCCTGGTCTCTCTGTGTGTGTCTGTTCAACTCCTAGGATAATGATCCAGTCTCGCGGTTCGGTTCGGGAAGCGCGCCCCGTATTGGAAAGTGGGGTTTGTGCAGATTCGGGCGGAGCAGAGGTTCTCCCTGACCAGGCTGTGAAGAACTCTTTTACCTTGTGCAGGAACAACCTTGATCCTTTGTCCATTTATTTGTAAAAGCGGCTGCTCTCTGTCTCTGTCTGGTTCATTTCTTTTCTTTTGGTTTTTTTTCAGATGTGTATCCCTAATCCAATGTCTATTACAGTGCCTGGCCGGATAGATATTTCTAGAGTTGCTGTGGTCTGAATGCGTTGCCTGTACAATCTAGGGGTTGCTGATGTGGTAGTGACAAGGGGTGGAGCCCTCAAGGGTGGTTAGAGCACAATGGCTTATCACTCGTTTAAAATGGAGAAGACTTCACACAGGCTTAGTCTGTTTAAACTCCTGCTTCATTGTGAGGAAGACCCTGATTGGACAAGGAATACTGGCAGCTCCCAGAATAGTTATAAAATAATACTATTCTTTATACCTTAGCTACTGGCAGATATTTTATTATAACAGCACAAACAGACTAATTAATTAATTAATGAAAGAAATGGTTTTTTGGTTTTGTTTTTTGTTTTTGGATCTCACTTTGCTTTCTCGCCGTTTCTGATTAATGCTCATTTTGAGAACAAACCCATGTAAAGACAAAAGCAGTGTCTTCAAGCAGATCTCAAGCACATGGCCTCAGAAACACCTTGGATGAAAATTTCATTTGCACAAAACAAGGAGGAAGTTCTAAACAGCTAAGGAAGTCTGTCAAGTACATTTGCTCACAGACTGTGGGACTTAGGGAAGAAAAATTTGTTATCATTGTACGTGTTAGAAGTTGGGGCTTCAGGGAGTAAACAGAAATAGAAAGTATACATGATTAAATACAGACCTTGTGAAATGTTTACTGTGTTGATCATACTGTGTACGATCAGGATCATAGTGGGTTCCCTCCTCACATACAAACCCTAACAGAAGGGAAAGGAAGGACTGAAGCGGCCTCTTCCCTGAGGCCTTCTTGGAAAACACCTGTGTGTTACAACCAACATAAATACAAGGGGAGACTGCTAAGTTGAAGCTGAGTGAAGTGTTTCTAAAAGTGGGGAGCTGGCAAGGAGTAATGGAATGCAACCAGGTGTCAGGAGGATTCCATCTTTGAAGTCCTGGCTCCATCTAGTGGCTAATGAGTCTAGATTTCTAGACTAATCCTTTCCTCACAAAGGTGCCTCTCAAATGTCTCAGCTTGACTCAGAGTTGAGCAAGAAGCTTGTATAAATGCTGTTTTTGTGTAAATTCTTATTAATCATCTTTTAAAAGCACGCATTCTAGATGCTTCTGTCTTTAACTGATTTTTAAAGATTCAAGGGTCTCTTTGGAAGTCAGTTCTGTTTGTCTGATTACTCCCTGCACCTCCCCTGTTTTTAAATTAATAGAAGGTATTAGGCGGAGTGTTTTATATTGTAAAGTCAAAGTGAATCGCAATCAATGGTACTTGGATATTTTTGACATCTTCCAATCAAAGAGCCTAGCACTGGTGGGGGCGGGGCCACAGTCAAGGTCTACTGAAGCGCGCTTCAGAAAACCTTGGCTAACCTTCAGATCCTCTCTCGGTGATCTTCCACCCTACTAATCTTAACAATTAAATACATTTTACCTTCTCGTTTTTAAGACTCAAGTAATTTCAGACTTAGAAAAACAGAATTCTCATCTTTCATCCAGATTCCTCAAGGGATAAGACTTTACTTATTCAAAGCTGATCTATCAAAAATTTAAAAAGCATCTCTGATACAATACTATTACTACACAATTTATAGACTTTATTAAATGTCCCTGCCATTCCATGAATGTTTCTGATTTGTATTACTGTCTGGGGTTTAAAGTGTGTGGTCTTGATCTCTAGTCTGTAATAATTCGGAGTCATTTTATTGCTTTTCAATAGTCCTGGCTCTTTTGAATCATACTAGATAATTAATTTGTATGAATCCTCAGTTAGACTTTCTGATGTATCTTCCTAGTTAAGTTCAGGATCCATCTTTAGTGAGAATGGGGCAGAAACCACGCTTCTGCTGTCAACTCAGCAAATCCAGAAGTTGGTGGTGCCGACGGGTTCCAAGCACATCAATTTCGATTGTTTGGGGTTGCCTTTGTCATTAGCTATTCTACAAAACAGTTATTTCAGATGGCTCGAGGGAGGCATTTCTGTGGGAAACTCACCTTGAAAGGAATAACCAGATCACAGGCAGGCTTAGCCGGGATGACATTACGTGACATTAGGTGACATTAGAGGACATTAGATTGAGGTTATGTGTAACCTTCAGGAACCCAAATATACTTGGAAACTTTCTCAGACCTTTTATGAAGCTTCCTAAAGAGAAGGGTCTTCAGATACAAAACCAGATAGGGAGCAGCAAGCGTTGTTGGCTCACACGTGATGTGTGTTCTGCTTTCAGTGTGGCTCTCCTGGACAGTGCTGGGCAGAGGCCAACCCAGGAGTTCTTCTCGGGCTTTGCATGATGCCAGGAGCTTTCTAGGTTGATGTTTGTTTTAGAAACACAAGGATGTTCTATGATCAGTCTTTGGTGTATAGAGCATTGGATCGATGGGTAGACGTTCCCATGCTTCGTGCACCAGGCAGGGCCTCGCTAAGAAGGGAGTGTGGATGCCGACTCAGTATGAAACTTAATCTCACAGTTGACATAGTGTTTGAGAGAAAGAATGATAACCTGGAGAATATTAAGTAGGATTCTGCGACTTTGAACATAAAGGTTACGTGAATAAGATAAATGGACACACACACAGACAGAGACAGAGAGAGACAGAGGGAGAGAGACACAGAGAGAGACAGAAAGAGAGACAGAGAGAGACAGAGAGAGAGAGACAGAGAGAGACAGAGAGAGAGAGAGAGAGAGATATGGGGGATCAACGACAGATGTCCTGATTAGAAATAAACAGGGCCAAATGACTAAGATCATCATCAAAAAAGTTTAAAAATACAGGCTTCAGAGAAAAACCCCATCTATTCCTTGTTGAGTTTTTGCAGTCAGGGAAACAGGTCCAGGGCCCATTTTTCTCTTGCTTGTGTTATAAGCAGCTGCCAGGTTTAGTAGATTAAACTCCTGATTTGTTGTTTCTAGAGCTGGGCTGGACTCATTGAGGGGGCTCTGCTGCTGTTCTTCCCTGGGTGCCATCATGTAGTCTTCACCCTGGGGCTGGTTAGGAAGGGGCCCTGCACTTCCTTGGAATTTTCTCCAGTATCAGTCGAGGAGTGTGAGCAAGCACAGCTGTAGAGCATACTGATGTCTGAGCTTAGAAGTCACACAATCACCTCAAGTTCACTCATTGGTTAAAGCTGGTACATGGCTAACTTTGTTTCCAACAAGACCTTGGCCATGGCGGGAGGGGCTCCTGTATTGCTACTATAAGATATCTTAATACCCATGACATAGGTGTTTGCAAGATTCCAACTTGCCACGTGCTGGTAATTTCAGTCTTCACTAGTGAATATTATTGTTCTTTGTTCTTGTTCCTAGCAAATATTTTAAGCTAGGACACTTGAAGTTGTAATAGGGTTTCATCAATCCGTGGGTAGAAGAATGGAGGGAAAGCAAAGGTTTCTTGAGTGACTTCCAGATCCTCTGAAATTGACCCCTGTAAAAATGACTAAATTGTACTTCAAAAAGACTTGTTTTATGAAGCTGAAGATACTGTCCTCTGTGTGTGTGGTGGGAGGAGAGGGAGGAAGAGATGGAGAGAGAAGGAAAGAAGAAGAGGAGGAGGAGGAGAGAGAGAGAGTGTGAGCAAACTGTTAGGGTGCTTTAGGGAAAAAGGATGTGCCATTAAGTTTACGGGAGCATCTTGATGATTGTTCTGACATTCTTGTTATGAAGATGTTTGTTTGCAATGCCGGCAGTTTTATGAAGCATCCATAAGTTTTAGAACCTTGAATACTGGAGTATTTTCATAACTGAGACATTTACCTGTAGTGTGAAGATCAAAACCTTGTAAAGAGGATTCTTGATAACATGTGCTGGTAAGTGGCAGAAATAGGATAGGGATGCCTGTTTGTGTGAGGGCTTGGGTTATGCGTCAAATGATGAGCAGAGAGCTATGGTGAAACTTGATTCCTCACAGGCCCCTGGGACACAGCTGGAGAGACAGCCTAAAAAGGCTGTATTCCAGAGAAAAGCACAAAGGCTGCAGGAATCAACACATTGCAGGAGGGACAACCTGGTTTTCTGTGGAAAGAAGACCTCCCTCAACAGTCCTGACATTTCTGAAACATCTTTTCTGGTTCCCTTTTTTATAGAATTTTAAGATTTTTTGTTTTGATTTTTGAGACAGGGTTTCTCTGTAGTTTTTGGTGCCTGTCCTGGAACTAGCTCTTGTAGACCAGGCTGGCCTCGAACTCAGAGATCCGCCTGCCTCTGCCTCCTGAGTGGGGGGATTAAAGGCGTTCGCCACCACCGCCCGGCCAGATTTTTTTTAACTTACTTATTTGTGTGTGTGTGCTTACTTGCGCATATATCTGTAGGTGCGTGCGTGTGTGTGTGTGTGTGTGTGTGTGTGTGTGTGTGTGTGTGTGTGTGTAAGGCCAGAGGCTACACTAGGCATCTTCCTCTACTATTCCCCATTTTATTTCATTGCAGGGTCTCTCACTAAACCCGTGCTCACTGATTTTGTTAGATCAGCTGACCAATGAGCTCCAGGGAGCTGCCTCTCCGCGGTTACAGGTGTGGCCACTGCGTCCTGCTTTTACGTGGGTGCTGGGGATCTGAACTCGGTCTTCATGCTTACACAGCAAGCACTTCACTGACTAAGCCGTCTCCCTGTTGATTTAGATTACTTTGTGTATTTTGCCTGCGTGAACTTTTGTGTACCACACACATGCAGTATCTAGAAAAGGGAACTGGATCCTTAGGAATTGGAGTTACAGATATTTGTTAGACACTATTGTAAGAGGCCTCCAGACCTTAGCAGTTTCTCAGACCTTAACACAGCTGACTCCATGATGGAAGAACCATTCAGGCCTTGGAACCCATCGTGTAGTCAGAAACACCTGCCAAGATAAGAACTAAGACTGAATCCATCAAAGCCCATAGTTCTGGGAAAATCCCTAACTGTAATAACCTTGCTTTTTGGCCTCTGAAGTTCTGCTTCTGGCTAACTGTTCTTGTTAGCTGAGGTGTGTCAACCAGGATATGGCTTGTGTGCTTGCAGCTCATCCCGAGAAAGGCTCAGGACTGCACTCAGGTCCCAAGCATCCAGTGTAGTCGCCAGCTGGCTAATAAAGAATTCTGTTGGTGTCAACCTGTGTCTTAGTAGCCAATAGTTAACAAAGCTATTGGATGCTGGGAGCAGAACCCAGGTCCTCTACAAGAGCAACAAGTACTTTTAATCAATGAGTCGTCTCTCCAGCCCCCTTAAGTTTTATTTTTGAGAAAGGCAATCGCTTTCTTTGTTGCTATGATAAAATATCTGCTGGAAGCAACTTACTGGTCTGTTTTGGCTGCTTGACTGGAAACCTTGGCAGTGTGGCAGCAGGAGTGTGAACTAGCTACTCATATTGTATCTCCAGCGAGGAAGCAGAGAGAGAACATTCAGCTTGCTTTCTCTTCTTCCTGCCTTTATTAAGTCTGGGTGCCTAGCATGTAGGATGATGCCACTCACATTCAGGGTTAAACCTCTCTGGGCACACCCTCAGTGATCTACCCAGAGATGTGTCTCCCAGGTGACTCCAAATATTGTTAATTTGATGCTAAAGATGAACCATAGCATGCAGGGAATACAATGTAATGTTCCCACATGTGCAAACGTTGGGGAATGATCAAGTGGAGCTCGTTAACATCTCCACAGAGCTCTGCTTGCCAGCCGCCCTCTCTTCTGAGCCAGCTGCTTAACGCTGGCTTCACCATTTGCTTTTTGCGCATTTCCCCATGATAGTCAACAAAAGCTTTGATATTTTAATGCTGGAGTCTAGGTCTATCAAATGCTCTCCTCTGAACTATTTATTTAGACCCTTCTGAAGTCAAAAGGCAGCCATGATAAAGCACAGTTACTGACCCGTGCAAAATCAAACATAAACCTCACAAACAGTATGGGGTGGTGGTGGGACAAAGAATGTTTGCCCGATCAACCAGAGCTGGGAACAGGCATGGCTGATCTGCAGTCAGAGCCATGGAGGAGTCATGAGGGAGGGGTTGCGGGCAAGTGGGATTTGAAGTTATAACCCAAGTGCTGGTTACTTCCGGGAGTGGGGGCGGGTTTGCTTTGAGCTCTGTTCTTATTGTTTGTCCTCTTTTCTTTTTGTATTAGCTGGTTACAAAGTAGGCCACTGAAAGATAAAAAGATTTTTCTCATTGACATTCATGGGAGGCCTGGGAGGATTGAGACTAGGAGCCTCCAGTTTTTTTTTTTTAGATTAAGCTTGGAATATTTATCTTTTCAGACCTCCCTTTTTCTTTGCGGTCCTTATTTTCAGTTTTCTTGGGTTTGGATCTCTTTATAAGTTCCATTCAGGGGGTCAGGCATTTAACATGGTAGCAGCAACCAGCACCAGAAAGAAAATGACACAGGTCGCTAGGAAAGAGAGCTCAGCAGTCTGGCAGGGCCATGAGACAGCTTTTTACTGAAGAACACTAATTACACTCCAGTACATGCGGAAGCTGCCAATAAAGACACCCTTCTGAAGCCACCTTAAGAGGAAACTGAACATTGGACTTGGAACATTGAAGTTACTGAAGCCAGTATCTCTAGACTGAGTCCCACCCCCAAACAACGGGGACGGCTATATTATTTGGTGCTTCTTGGAGAAAAGCTCTGAGCAGAAATGTATATAATTTCTTTGGAAGGGAAATAGAATTCAAGGGGTCAGGCAAAATTCACTAAGTATTCCGCTTTTGCCCAAATTACCATTTAATGACGGGCTCGCCTTTGCCCAGCAGACTGTGTTGGCAGTCTCTCGCTTTCCTCTACCACAGTGGTTCTCAACCTCTGGGTTGCAACCTCCTTGGGACTCACATATTGGATATTTGCATTACAATTCAAAACAGCAGCAAAAGTACAGTTATGAAGTGGCAATGAGATCATTTTATGGTTAGGGATCACCACAACATGAGGAACTGTATTGAAAGGGCCTTGGACAGCTCTCAGTTGCTTTCTCTGATAGTTTTGAGACCGCGGTAGGATACCCTGGAGTGGTCCTTCCTGCCAGCGGAACTGTTCAGAACAGCAGCAGCTGGTCCTTAACCCTCTGACCCCTGAAACCAGGGATGTTACTTTCCACTTGCAAGTTTCAGGAAGAGAGATCTCAGTTTGGCTTCCTGGTGACTGACAGGGGGCATAGCTAGGAAGGGGAAAATGGAACTGATCACTGGGGTGTAGATTTTAAGGCTAATTGAACACTTGAGTCTATGTGGTAAGCCAGAGATTAAATTCCTCTCCACAAATAGTTATTGGATGGCATTTATTGTGTAAAATTTAGCATTGGAAAGATAACTAAAGGAGAGGTTTCAGAATTGAGAGACACCTATGCTGTCTGATTTTTATGCGAGTGTCAAGGCATATGAAGAATTTCAGAAATGTAGAAGTGGCCCAGCAGGTGGTAAGGAGGGAATCTGATTACACTAGAAGCAGGCAAGGTTATGGAGAAGAGGAGCATCATGGGAGCTGTGTAAGAATGTTCCAGGTAGGCAAAGTAGGGAAGATACACCGGATACAGGACTAGGCACCCAGAAGCTTGGTTTCCATGGAGTGTGCCCAGGGTGCTGAGACCTCAGGGATGGTGAGGGCTGTAGGATGGGATGGCTGGGACAGGAGCGCTAACCTAGGCCAAAGCAGGGTGTGGGATCCTAAGCCTGGAGAGCAGCAGAAGGATTGGGGGGGGTAGTCTTTCTCCCCGTGTTTTAGAAAGTTAAGTCAGCAGCCGTGTGAATTGTGTGGTACGGAGAATGCGGGCAAGGAGGCCTGCTGTAGGGTTCAACACGCTGACCCAAACTCAGACGAGCAGCTTCTTTGAGTAGAGAATTCATCCTGGATTGAAATAGCACGCATGTGGTTGGTTCAAAACTTACAAAAGCAGGCTATAGGGTACACATGGGGTCTAGCTGGGTGACAACGCTTGCTTAGTGTGTGTTTGATTTCCCACCCTGAAAACAACTTAACAAAAATACGAACAATTTCCATATTATCTCCACAGGAGTAAAGAATATAAAGTGCATGATACCATGGATAATGTTTTCATGTTCACTGACTTCTGAGTAATTGGCGGGCGTGTTCTGAGGCTTACCATAAGACTACATCACAGGCCGGGCGGCGGAAGCACACAGCTTTAATCCCAGCACTGGGGAGGCAGAGGCAGGCGGATCTCTGTGAGTTCGAGGCTAGCCTGGTCTACAAGAGCTAGTTCCAGGACAGGCTCCAAAGCTACAGAGAAACCCTGTCTCGAAAAACAAAAACAAAACAAAACAAAACAAAACAAAAAAAGAATACATTATATAGGTACATTAAGAACTATTTTTATAGGGGAGGAGGTGGTGGCTGCTCCGGAACCCCAGAGGAAGAGATGCCTCAAAGGCCCATATAGGTTTCTTTAAAACCTCGCTAATGTCCAGACTCGAGTCTGTCGAAACTGTCCACTGTTCGGAGGCGCCTTCTCTGCCATCCTCCCGCCTGGGGCCATTGATGTGAGCGACCTCCGACCGGTCCTGGACAGCCAAGAAGTTTTCTGCCATCCCATGACCGACCAGAGTCTGATCGTGGAACTTCTGGAGCTGCAGGCCCACGTGCGGGGCGAAGCGGCTGCGCGGTACCATTTTGAGGACGTTGGCGGGGTGCAGGGGGCTAGGGCCATGCACGTGTTATCTGTGCAGCCTCTCTGTTTGGAGAACTTATCCCTGAGGGGCAGCTGTCAAGATGCCTGGTTCCTTTCTGGCAAGCAGCAGGTAGCTAAAGAAAACCAGCAGGTTGCAAAGGATGTCACACTACATCAGGCCTTGCTTCGGCTGCCCCAGTACCTAACTGATATCTTGCTCACCTTCAATCAGTCCCCCTCTAACAGCAGGTCTCTTGGCCCTGAAAATCTGTCATGTCCACCTTGGAGCCTGGGTAACTTTGAACAACTGGTGACTAGTTTGACTCTTCATGATCCCAACATCTTTGGTCCCCAGTAAAGATGGTGGAACACAACATAACTGTTGTTGAGGACTCAGGGACCCAGTTCCGAGAAGGGGAGTTTCTTTCTGCTTTCTTCCTGGACATAAACATAAGACACCTCCTCTGTGGAAATAAACTTGCTTTATAAAAAAAAAACCAATTTTTATATTGAGACCCTAAGGGAAACCCGGTGGAGAGTCTGGCATCTGAGGATAAGAGAGGAACACACAGAAACATGGACCCATGAAGAGATTGGAGAAGAGCCAGAGGTGAAACAAAAGATCAAAGGTGAAAGTGGAGTTCAGAACTGGGACTATAGACCGGAGACTTAATGTTTGTCTGAGTGCTTTCCAGACTGAGCCGTAGTGGAGCCTGGATGTTGCTTCCTCAAGATGAAGGTGAATTGAATGATGTCTGAGGACACTTCAGCTGTGATTCCTGCAGCATCTTCTGCTGAACAAGCTCAGCAAGGGACGCGAACAATGTGACCTCGAGTATTTCTTAAGAGAATACAGACTTGGGGCTGGGGAGATGGCTTAGTGGTTAAGAGCACTGACTGCTCTTCCAGAGGACCCGGGTTCAATTCCCAGCCACCACATGGCAGCTCACAACTGTCTGTAATTCTACTTCCAGGAGACCCAACACTCATGGCAAAACACCAACGTACATAAAATATATATATATATATAATATATATATAATATATATATATAAAAAGAGAATACACACTTAAAGGCATGCCTCTCTTTTAAAAAAGCCCATATTTCGTAGTCAATCATGACTTTCCAGTATGGGGAACCCAAACTGGTCACAGATAGGAGCCTGTGGTGGCTCTGTGGGGTAATCTGGTGGCTGCCCAATTGGGTGGGGCCAAACTGATTTCACTAATTGCAGAACGGATTCCCGTGGAATGGCAGGAGCTTGTGTTAGAAGAAGAGGAAGAGTGGCTCGGCCAACTGACTGGAGCAGAAGTGTGTTTATGAGACAAAGTCACACATCATCTATAGCTGTTACAAGAAAGACCAGCTCAAAAGAAGGACCCATGTTGGGTCACCATGTCCATCTAGAGTTTTCCTTAGGTGCCGGCGGGGAACCAGCTCTTACCAGTGTCTTCAGGGCAGTGGGATAGTTTGACCCCACCTCCCCCTTTCTCTCTCCAGACCCCAAATGTTGGATATCTGCTTGATTTCTTGACTCTACCATTCTCTCACCTGTGGGTTTTTTTTTGTTTGTTTCTTGTTCCTTTTTTCCCCCATTTAAGACATTTACAGGTATAGAATTAGTAGGGGTAGAACATGTATTACAAACCATGAGTTCTGTAAAGCGGATAGGCATAGCTTTCTGGGTTAAGTCAGGGCGGGGTGTGTAGGTTTTCTCTAGATTATTTATGCTTCTAATCCCTCCTAAAGCGTTCCACTGAGGGAGGTTTGGAAAGTCTGGGCTTAAGTCCATGCTTCCCAGAGTCAGGAGAATGAGGGCTGGTGTACCCTGATGGTAATAAAGACTCAGTTTTCAAATGGGGTTGTTAAGGTATCTGTGTTCTGGTCACTAGCTAGTACCCAGGATCAGTTCTACCCTTGGACAGACTGCAATGCAGCCATCACAGCGAGGAAACCTCCTCCTTGTCGGCACCGTCACGCTGAGTGCCCAAGTGCCTGAGCTTCTTCCCTCTTCTCTCTTCCGTCAAGACGCACTGCCGAGTCATGCGCCACTCTGACGTTCAGCGAGAAAAGAAGGAACTAAACTCTGCCCTTCAAAGTGACATCTTTACTTGGACTTGATGGAGTGGTTTGAGATCTTCTGGGCCTTGATGTCTCCGAGTTGCTCCTTGTCTAGTGGAACACCTTAGCCTCTCACCTTCCAAGGGCGCGAGGAACTGAGACCGGCAGCATCCATTGTCAAAAGCCGTCCTGCTGCCGTTTTGCCTCTGAACGCGAGGTTTGAAAGGAGTGTGGAATTATCCTCCTGGAAGCGGAGCCATCTGATTGTTCTGTTGTTAGAGATATGAGTGGCTTCCACGGGTGACCCTGCTGCCACCCACCAGAGCTGCTGCCTGGCATGGCCCGCAGAGCTTGTAGCAGCTCTAAAGGATGGTTTGAGGCAGTGGAAACCTCTTATGTTATAACCTTTCTGACCTTTCCTGGGGCTCACTCAAAAGCTGTACCTGGGACTGTTTTTCGCTGGTCTGTGAAGTGATATATCTTCATTAGGACTTAGAAGTAAATAATTTTTTAAACCCCTAAGAAGGAAGCAATTTGTCTTGAACACAGTGGATTTGATCTTTAGAGAGAGGTGAACAGCTAGCTTTTTTCCTCAGCAAAAGCTAAAGATGATGAATGAATTGCCCAGGGCTCAGAAAGCCTCTTTACAAAAGGGAATGTTATCTGTGCGGGGATTTTAAATCAATGCTAGCGCTGTCCTTGCCTAGGACTGCGGATTTTCACAACCGAGCATCGCAACTGCAAACCTGAGGTTAGGATCCGGAATATCAAAAGAATAAATCCTGCAAATTGTAAGTATTCACGGTCTTCAAGGGAAGGATAATCTTGTGTGGATTAAATGCATTGATGATTCACTCTGAGTCACCAGTAATGGATCGGTGTCACATTAAGGAAAGAAATACAAGCATTTCCCCCTGGAGTCATTTAGCCAAGAGTGAGCCCAGATTTGAATTCTCTACTTGTACTGCTGTGTCTTCTGTCCCTTTTCTGTCTGTTGTCTGAGTTTGAATCTGTGCCTTTCTGAAGACTGCTTTGTGAAGCTGTCCATGTGTCTGTCTGTCACCGTCTGTCTATCCCTAAGGCTTTGCTCCATGTTTATTGACTATCTTAGGAAGTTTCACATAGGGGAAGGAATAAGGGACACTTCCCAGGAACCAGAGTCTTGCAAGGGTGATTCAGACTCCAGCTGACCCAGATAACCAGCAGTATTCTAATATAGTTTATCAGGTAATATCCAAATGTTGAGTCCCACATGCATAGTGGACATTCACTTTATAATAAGATCACTTTCAACCTCTGTGTCTGCCATTTTCAGCAAACGATGAACACACGTGCTTTATTCTGGGCCAGGGAGAGTACATACTTTAATATTGCAGCTATGCAATTACTTAGGTTTTAAAAGCTGACTGCATGGGAAACCCAAGGCAGGTAAGGTTGGTTGCTACCGTGTTCTCTTAAAGGCAGGTTAAACAAGCAGGCTAAGTGCACAGCAGGACATCAGTATTAAGGCTTTTGTACACCCTAAAGGTGCAGTATTAACTTTGACTGTGGGGCTCAGGAACAGTTCTAGCCATTTAGAATGTAAGAGGGTTTTTTTTTAAATTTTTTTTTAAATCATAACACAGTGCTATAAGTCTGGTAAACACTTTGTAAACAGGAAGCTTGTTCTCTGCTGTTGCACAAGGGCAGGCACAGTCTTTGACTCCTCTTGCATTTGGACCCCTTTGTGGGGAAAGCATCCATAGTCATTGCCTGTGAAGACGAGTAGAGCTGGTTGAGAAGTCCTAAATAGGGTCTTATTTATTTAAACCAAGACAGGTTTGGTTGGTGTAGTAATAAGGAATTTGAGACATACTAACAATTGAATCAATTATGAAGAGGTACATTTGCCACATTTTTGTTTCTGTAGCATTTTGGTAATTGAGCAAAGAGTCTTTGAGGCCAGATTTATTGTTGGAGGCTGCTCTTTCATTTTCCAGTTGCCTAAACCCAAATAATCATACGGAAGCTATATTAATTACAACACTGTTTGGCCTATTAACTCAGGCTTTTTATTAACTAACTCTTACATCTTAAATTAACCCATTTCTACTAACATGCATATCGCTATAAAGCTGTGGCTTATCAGGTAAGGTTCTGTTCTGGTATCTTTCTCCTTCAGCAGCTATATGGCGTCTCTTTGACTCTGCCTACTCTCTCTGCATAGCTCTGGATTTCCCGCCTGGCTTTGCCCTGCTAAGTCATTGACTGAAAAAGCTTCTTTATTAACCAATAGTAATAAAACACATTCACAGCATACAGAGGGGAATTCCATATCACCTCCCCTTTTCTGTCTAGATAAAAAGGAAGTTTTTAACTTTAACATAGCAAAATTACATAAAACAAAACAGATATCAAGCAAGACTTACACTTACAATATTTAGTCTATTTGCATGGGGAAAGTTTCATATTATCTTTTATCATCTAATTATCTTTTATCATCACTAAGGAAAATTATAACTGTTTAGTTTTCAAATTCATCAAAGACTCCAGAAGGATATAATTTACTTAAGTAAACAGGAAATGCATTGTAAGCAACTTTCAAAACTCTAGAATTGACAGAGACATTTCACTGCCTGGACAGTCACCCAAAGTTTTGTAAGCTGGAGCATCCATCTTCAGCCTACAGGCCCATAGTATCCAGCAGACTTTTCCATGAAGCAGGAAATCTGAAAGGCTGTTTTACATATCTTGGCAGTTTGTCAGTCACTTTCTTCTGTATCATGCAGAATGTGTTGCGGGAGAATTGTCTGTATTCTGTTAATCATGATTTAAATAAATGCTGATTGGCCAGGCAGGAGGTGTAGGCGGGAAAACCAGACAGGAAGTGGAAATGATGCAAGGAGAGCAGGAGAATTCTGGGAAGGAGGAAGTTGATTCCTCCCACTCCTGCCCAGACCACCGAAGCAGCAGGATGTGAACTGCCCCACTGAAAAAGGTACTGAGCCTCATGGCTAACATAGATCAGAGAAATGGGTTAATCAAGTTGTGAGAGTTAGCCAGTAAGAAGCCTGACCTAATGGGCCAATCAGCTTTATAACTTATAGAGATCTCAGTGTGATTTTTCTCTGGGACTAAACATCTGGGGGGCGTGGGCAGGACAGAAAAACCCTTAACAAACAGGCCCCCTCATGTTACAATGTGTGGCAGTTTCTTCTGTGAAGCAGGAACCCTGAAGGACCATCTGTCTTTTGGAAAGTTCAGCAGTCACTTTTCTGTGGGTCCTGCACATCCAGTTCATACAGCATACCATAAAGCAGTCTAGG